TCTTTTTTTAGTGTAAACAATAAGCGACGTCATTGTTAAATGCGTTCTGGTCCCAAGTTTATATACTTTTCCGGTTGCATAAATAATACTGTTTCTCTACATTCAAATACGCCTTTATTTTTTATTTTTCTTCTTTAACCAAAATTGTGGTTATACATTTAAAACATCTAACATATTATTTTCAACAAAAATCCGTATAAAGGTATCCAAATATCGCTGCCGATTCTGACGTGATGTCCGGCGAAAATATTTTGCGGACAGAGAGAGAGAGAGAGAGAGGTGCGAACGTGGGGTTTTATATATTAGGATAGAAATGTAAGCACGATACCATTCTTCACCCTTTATTACAGGTAATGATAGAATTTTTTTCATCAGTTAGCTAAAGGTCAGGTTAAAAAAAAATTCGCTATCTATACTATCTCTCTATACAGATCGGTAAACTACCCTATTATTTGCTGTATATTAGATTGCTCATATATCATAGAGGCGTTATTATCATAGTACATATCTGATCCCACGTATAGCAGCCCGTGTATCGTGAGCATGGGATTGAGTGGCGTAGGGATATTTGAAGGAATATTTAAAGAACAGGTCTGAATACATCCAGCTATCTTCAAATCAAATAGACCTTTAGCGTAGCTAGACTTGGCTGGGTTATATACTGCAATGGCGTAGCCAGGATCGTCTCAAGGGGGGGTTCCAATTTTTACCCGGGGACAAACTTTCGATTTGCACCCCCCTCAAACTTTCGATTTGCATCCCCCCCCCCCTCAAACTTTCGATTTGCACCCCCCCTCTTACTTTTTATATATACCGAGGGGTCTATGGGGGGATTATGACCCCCCCCCCTAACCCCCCCTGCCTACGCCACTGATATACTGGCAATATTAGCACGTCCACCAGCTAATACACTGGGACTATTGAGTTAAGTGTACAGAGAAGAGGAAGTAGAATTCACGTGGACTCACTTTAATGCAGATGACGCTGCTAATGAATCCAGTCAGTATGATGACATCTACCTTCACTGTCCCATACTTGAATTAGGTACCCATTAGAACTGAGTGGACTCAGAGACGCCATAGCGTTGACCCTTAATGGTAAATAATCCTGCTTTAAACTTGAACACATCCAATGTGCTTTAAATTTGATGTGCACGATTGTAATTCATACATTGCTTTACCTCTATAGCTGGTCACATAAGTTAATGATCTATGCGTTAGGTGCTAGGTTAGGGTTAGACTGTTTTATTTTAAACCTTAGCTTAGGGTTACATCAACAAATAGCAACCGCCTGTTATCATACAACACAAAAGTGTCGGTAAGCAATAACACGTTTACCCCATTTACAATCTAATTTTAATACATATTCTCATTTTGATTAAGCTAAACCGTGACTATAAGATCGTGTGTTCAAGGATCTATTTTTAAAAATCAGCTGTTAACTTGACTTGTGATCGGGCATAAACCAGAGTAGTCGTCCCTGTTAACCTCCCCTTATTTACAGCCGTCCACTTAAAAAAAATACTCGAACGCTTCATCTTAATTGGTGGTTTTGTTTGATCGCTGGTGGTTCTGGGGGGGGGGGGGGAGGGGGGAGTTGAGCGGAGGGAACCCATGTTTTAATTGAAAGCAGAATGTTTATTGCCGCTTGTATGCGTCATTCCTCAGGGTGTCGGTGAAGGCTAGTCAAGTCTGACTCATGAGTTTCAAGACAAGTCGAAGATTCGGTCTGTTTGTCTGTCTGTCTGTCTGTCTGTCTGGGGAGGCAATTCAAATTTAAAATAACGTTTTCCTGACTGTCAAGTGTGTCTTTTTCTCTCAAACACAAACACAAACATTATATATATATATATATATATATATATATATATATATATATATATATATATATATATATATATATATATATATATATATATATATATATATATATATATATATAAATGAAGAGTGAACGGTGGCCTTCAAATGTAACTGATTTGATCAGGAGATTGCAGCCCTCAGGCAATTAGCCCATTTAATTAATGACCTGCGCACACTTTATAGTTGTAGATTCGCCTTCACCGCCCCAATCTCATTTTTACGATCACCCTCTCCCTCCCCCACCCTTCCTTCTACGTGCAGGTTTAACATTCTCTATATTTCACCATACGTGTGCAACAGGTAAGTTCAATCGGTGAGACACGTTTGTTTATATCCCCCAGTCACCTGAGTTTTTAAGCTTTGTTTTAACTTTTTTTTAAATTCAATTTTTATATTTTAACGAACTCTTTGTTTTAAAAAAAAATAATTTTAAATTTTAAGTAGTTTTTAAACTTTTTTTTAATGTTATTTTTTTCTTTTGAATCATGGATCGAAACTGGAAAAAGTTTTTAATGTACAAACACCTTCAACTGACAGACTTTGTTTTTCAAAGAAAGGCTGATAGTTAGGTCATCTGGGAAGGATGTCAAACTGAATGGTGAAAGTTGAATACAACAAAAACCTAAAAGATAAAGACAAAAAGGCAGGCTGAGGTAGATAGAGGATGTGGAGACAGACCTACAGCAGTACGGAGTACAGACCAATGTTGTATAATACATACATCCTTGTGTAAGACTTTAAGAACAGCGCGGACACAAAGTAAACAGTTGCACACACTCTTAGAGGGAACGCTTCTACAGACATGCAAGAAATAGACAGCAGACAAGTCTCAGTGACAGAAAGTGGTGCAGCAGGCCATAGCTTAATATAGGCTTTAAGCAACAATGCACCAGACTCTCTCTCTCTCTCTCCATCCTCTACCTAGACAGCACCAGACTCTCTCTCTTCCTCCTCTATCCATGTTAGCACCATACCCTCTCCCTCCTCTATCCATGTTAGCACCATACCCTCTCCCTCCTCTATCCATGTTAGCACCATACCCTCTCCCTCCTCTATCCATGTTAGCACCATACCCTCTCCCTCCTCTATCCATGTTAGCACCATACCCTCTCCCTCCTCTATCCATGTTAGCACAATACCCTCTCCCTCCTCTATCCATGTTAGCACCACTCTCCCTCCTTTATCCATGTTAGCACCATACCTTCTCCCTCCTCTATCCATGTTAGCACCATACCTTCTCCCTCCTCTATCCATGTTAGCACAATACCCTCTCCCTCCTTTATCCATGTTAGCACCATACCCTCTCCCTCCTCTATCCATGTTAGCACCATACCCTCTCCCTCCTCTATCCATGTTAGCACCATACCCTCTCCCTCCTCTATCAATGTTAGCACCATACCTTCTCCCTCCTCTATCCATGTTAGTAGCATACCCTCTTCCTCCATTACACATGTTAGCACCACTCTCCCTCCTCTACCCATGTTAGCACCACTCTCCCTCCCCTACCCATATTAGCACCAGACCCACTCTACTTCCTCCACTCACCCATGCCATTTCGTTCTCTCCCACCATACACTTTATTTTTAGCGTTCTCTTTTGCGTTTATTCTTTGAATACCCGTGTATTTTTGCTAATTAAAATTAGCTCATTAAGTTAATTCTTCAGAGGAAGCTAACTTCAGGCTGTGGGTTTCGTTATTTTCCAACGGCGCAATAAAGGGAGGTAGTAAATCTCCTCCATGTGATCTCATTTCATTGAGTTATCTCCCTGTGTTAACGAGTTCGATTAGTTCTTGTTGACAAAGGGAGAGTATCAGTATGGGTCTTAAAACCCAATTAAAATGTTAAGGATGTTAAAAAATACTTATTGAGACCCGTTTTTATAAGTTGTAAATGTTGATGTAATTTTTAGAATAGGTTGGCAAGTCATTTAATTTGAACCTATATAAATACGTTCGCATCAAGATCTACTAGATAGGGATATGCAATGGGGAGGCGCATTAGAAAATAAAACAATTTCTTGATAGATGTAACATAACAACGTTATAAAGCTTATTCTTGGTCTGGCTTTACGTGCTAATTTACCACAGGTTTTCCACTGCCTCATTTTGATAGCTCGCTGAGATTATTACTTCTGACCCCAAACCTAGCCCACACGATAACTGATAACTCACACTGTAAATATTGTCAGAAAGACTTCAGGGAAATTACACCTCTCCTATGAAAAAGATAAATTGATTGAGAGAGATGGGGTGCGGTGGTGGAACCAGGTACGCAGACAATCTGTGGAGGGGGTGAGGAAACAAAGTATGCGGAAAATCTGTAGCCAAACACTCCTTTACTCACCATTTCTTTTTTTTTTTTTAATGCGGAGTGGTATATGTTGTGACTCAGTCACATATTGGCACTTTTGTTGACATCAATGTGACACTGAGTGATCGTTTAAACTTGTGGGTACTGCTTGTATTTCGGCCCATATGTCTGTGTGTGTGTGTGTGTGTGTGTGTGTGTGTGTGTCTAGAAAAAATATTTCTGAAATCTCAGCAAGAAAAAAAAAAAGGGGGGGGGGGGTACAGACAACAAAGCCACCCCCCCCCCCAACGTTTAGTTTCGCCGAGTCTTTGAGATAATGTGTGTGTGGAGGTGGGGAGGGGGATAGGAAACACAATAGGCAAGACGGGATGGGGTGTGGTGGGGTGGGGGGGAACTAGTGAGAGGGTCATTTACAGTCACAAGTGTAGTGAGCGGGTCTTATGTGTTGGGCACCAGAAATAATTAGCGTGTGTAATGTTTGTCATGAACTTTTAATCTACGGGATTGTCCTTACAAATATAACAGGTAGTGAATGCTGGATGAGATTAACAGGGGATTAATAGGTAGTTACGGTCAGTCATAGACTAAAGGGTCAGTCATAGACTAAAGGGTCAGTCGTAGGCTAAAGGGTCAGTCCTAGGCTAAAGGGTCAGTCATAGACTAAAGGGTCAGTCATAGACTAAAGGGTCAGTCATAGACTAAAGGGTCAGTCATAGACTAAAGGGTCAGTCATAGACTAAAGGGTCAGTCCTAGGCTAAAGGGTCAGTCCTAGGCTAAAGGGTCAATCCTAGGCTAAAGGTTCAGTCCTAGGCTAATGGGTCAGTCCTAGGCTAAAGGGTAAGTCCTAGGCTAAAGGGTCAGTCATAGAGTGTCAGTATTCTGTCAAATGTCAGTTTAAGGCCAGAATATTCTTGTCTAGTGGGTCAGCCCTAGTCTGAGGGGTCAGTCCTAGTCTGAGGGGTCAGCCCTAGTCTGAGGGGTCAGTCCTAGTCTGAGGGGTCAGTCCTAGTCTGAGGGGTCAGCCGTAGTCTGAGGGGTCAGCCCTAGTCTGAGGGGTCAGCCCTAGTCTGAGGGGTCAGTCCTAGTCTGAGGGGTCAGTCCTAGTCTGAGGGGTCAGCCCTAGTCTGAGGGGTCAGTCCTAGTCTGAGGGGTCAGCCCTAGTCTGAGGGGTCAGCCCTAGTCTGAGGGGTCAGTCCTAGTCTGAGGGGTCAGTCCTAGTCTGAGGGGTCAGTCCTAGTCTGAGGGGTCAGTCCTAGTCTGAGGGGTCAGCCCTAGTCTGAGGGGTCAGTCCTAGTCTGAGGGGTCAGTCTTAGTCTGAGGGGTCAGCCCTAGTCTGAGGGGTCAGTCCTAGTCTGAGGGGTCAGCCCTAGTCTGAGGGGTCAGCCCTAGTCTGAGGGGTCAGTACTAGTCTGAGGGGTCAGTCCTAGTCTGAGGGGTCAGCCCTAGTCTGAGGGGTCAGTCCTAGTCTGAGGGGTCAGTCCTAGTCTGAGGGGTCAGTCCTAGTCTGGATTGCTAGTCGTAGATTACGATTAAAATAATATATTTATGACAATTTTTAATACTGATATTGAGGAAGTAGAGTTGATCAAAACCAATGTTAGTTACCATGAGAGTGTGTGTATCGTCACGTAGAACATGATGATATTGTATTAACAAAGTGATTTTTTTTAGATCAGGATGTGTTGATTATAATGACACAATGCATATTAAGTTGATTACAGAAATGATGGAGTGAAGTGTGCCAAAATGGAGTGATGGTGATGGGGGAAAAACCAAACGCCGACTCACCCCTGCTCTGGTCATCTGGCTCCAATCCTCCTCCACAACCATGACTGAACTTCTAGACGTGACGTCATTGCCGCGGCCGCTGGAACCCCTCAAGCTCCTCTGACGCAACCGGTCCTGGATGACGCTCATCAGGAAATCCTCATCCGTCGACAACTTGCCGGCAACGACCGGCTCGTGGCGTGACGTCAGCACACGGAACCGGTTTTCCGGTACGTCATCGTGTGACGAGCTCCACATCGACGACATAGTCGAGTCCCACGACTCCAAACTTTTCGTATCCATGTCCAGTTTACTTATCTCAATCCCGCTATCCGCGAAATTCGCCAACCCGGAATCCGGAACATCATTCGCATCATCATCTAAATCATACAAATCCCCGGAAGTCGATAATCTCTCAGTTGAGGATACACTTAGATTACATGCCGAGAATTTTGTCACTTTTTCCGGATACCGAGATTCGAATTTCGTCGGTCGTTGAATCACCGTCTTATCTAAAGACGCCGCACGTCTGACTGCGATTCCGGCTCTCTGGAACATTTTTTCGCTCATGTTCTTCACCTCTATGGAGTACGCCGTGTTGGTTCGCCTGTGTCCGGGTTTGAACGTCGGGCTGTCTTTGACGGAGTTCCTGCTGGGGATGTTTATATTACCGGAACTGTCTTTATTTCCAACGGTTATTGTGTCATCAAGCATATCCGGAGTCTCTTCAACTAAGGTAGGGATAGGGTTGGCGTCTTCGTATACCAGTACTAGTTCCTGAGAGAAATTTGAATCATAACTAGATGATCTTGAGTATTTTTCGTCCTCAACCTTCAAATTGTTAGTTAAATGCATGTTTTGTGAGGTATTTATTGAGTTGTGTCCCTTTTCGTGAAATTCATTATTTAAGTTCTTTCCCTTGTGACATTCCGTATTTGATGAGTTGTGTCCCATGTCGTCAAATGCTGAAGTTTTGTCGTACAGAATTTTAAGCTCCTCCTGGCTGAAAGTTGGGCACGAGTGACGTTTCATGCGCAGCTGAACATGACGTGCCAGGTCCTTGTCGGTCGGTGACATGCCAATTTCTTCCGCTTGTCTTGCCTTTTGGGACGCCTTGTTTTCTCGTAGCTCGCTTGCCAGGTTTTTCTCCAACTGAAATATAATTGTATTTTATATAATGCCTATGTGTGTTTCCTTCGCATTTTTTAATCACTTAAAATCATTTTAAAATGTTCTCCTAATAACTCTAAATTTTATCATCCTAATTATTTTCTCTAATTTAGATTACGCTCTTATCCTCCAAAACACATCGTGTTTTCATAAAGTGGATGATATATTTTAAGTACTGTAATTATCATTTGTTTCAAATTACAATCACTTACTTGAACCCTAACAGTTTCAGTTTGAGACCCAAGTTACTTGAACCCTGACAGTTTCAGACCCAAATTACTTCAACCCTTACAGTTTTAGACCAAAGTTACTTGAACCCTTACGGTTTTAGATCCAAGTTACTTGAACCCTAACAGTTTCAGACCCAAGTTACTTGAACCCTAATAGTTTCAGATCCAAGTTACTTGAACCCTAACAGTTTCAGACCCAAGTTACTTTAACCCTAATAGTTTCAGATCCAAGTTACTTGAACCCTAACAGTTTCAGACCCAAGTTACTTGAACCCTAATAGTTTCAGATCCAAGTTACTTGAACCTTAACAGTTCTAGTTTTAGACCCCCACTTAAACTAGCCTCTGACAGTTTTACACCCCACTTACTTGAACCCTAACAATTTTAAAACCCTACTTATCTGAACCCTAACAATATAAAACCCTACTTGCCTGAACCCTGACAGCTTCCGTCTGCAGTGACATCATCCACTTGACCAACGTCTGCTGGTCGCTAGCGCAGAAGTAAATGCTGGGACAACGAGTCTGGCTGAGCTTGAACGCGAACAACGTCTTCTTCCTGTTCTCCGGCTCCATCAAGTACCCCACGGAACACTGGTTCAACATCACGGAAAAAACCGGCACCTCTGCCGGTCTCTCACTCCTAAAGCCGTACAACCAGCCTCTAGACAGAACACAAAATACTTTGACGAACTTATACTCCTGTCGGCACTGGAGGTACCCTGACTCCTTGATGGATTTCAAGTCCCGGAGTCTTAGACTCTCAGAAGATTTGACTCCGCCGCTGTTGGAAACTCGGTCTTTGAACTCGGAAAAAGATTTCCGGATACTTGTTCCGAAGTTGATGGAATGTCTCTTCTTATCCCAGGGTTTGGTGAGTGAGACTGGCGATGTGGAGATGGACGAGTCTAAACTCTCCTCACTATTGGTGGAGTCACGATGCGCGCGATTCTCATGCTGTAGTTTTGGACTTGATGGCTTGTCTTGAGGAGTTGGGTGCTGTAGTTTTTTTCTACTTCCGGCATCGTCAGCTGAAGACGATCGCTTCTTCCGTCGTAAGATGTCCATAGGCGATTTCATCCCGAAGAATGTTTTTGATTTGCTGGTCTCGTCTAAAGACGACCTGGCCAGTTGTTGAATGTTTTGGTCGACGTAGTACGTCGCTTTCATTGGACTTGACCTGTGGTCAAGCTCGTGGTGATCCTTGCGCATCTTTCTGCGCAGCTCGACCACTGTGTCTTTACTGTAGTCAGCCGGCTGGGAAAATGACAGCGACCTCGAGGGGGTGTCCAGGATTGGTGGGGGCAGATTGTGTGGGGGCAGATTGTGTGTGGGAGGTTGGCAGGTTGCGTTATCATTGTGGTGGTGTATCGATGAACTATTGATCCCGTTCGATTGATTTAAATTGATCTGAGTATCAATATCAGCAGGGTCACATAAACACACTTTGCTGAGAGCCAAAACCCAATGATTTAGCTCTGCTTTTGAAGTGGCACCAAACAGGTGCTTTTGGCGAGTTTTGGGATGTTCCAGGATAAAACGAAATTTTTCACCATTTGAATCCCTTGGTGAGATTTTTTGTTTGAAGTTATCCAAAACTGGCTTGTCTTTAAACAGCGGAGATTGTTCCACTGTTCGAACTTTGCATCCTTGCAAAGGTATCGCCTTTTTGGAAACACTAGTGTCGTCAGCCTCGAAGATACAGAGCGTATCTCCACACAGAGCACACCATACCCTGCCACCCCTTAAATTGTCAATGAGCCAGCCTTGGTGATCCGCGGTGCTGACTTCACTAAACGAGTTCAAGTTCAGACTAGGGGTGGCAGGTTGCTGCTGCGGTGAGGTCGGCGTTGACGTCACAGCGCGAGACGCACTGCGCGTGCGGCTCCGTCCTTCTCTGGTGGTGCCGGACATCACGGTAGCCTCCCTCTGACCACAGCAGCTGGCGTTGTTGTTGTCGTCGACGTCGTCTGCCGCGCTGCCCCAGTCGTGGTGGTGCCTGTTGTCATCGTCACGTCTGCTGCCAATGGTTCCAGTGCTCTTCTGTTTTTGGAGGTGCTTTCTTCTGGGCGGCGCTACTGGTGAAGATTCTACAGTCGTCTGCAAAAAAAAAATATCTGAACTCAGTCTACCAGGAGCGTCCTTTCAGAAATGATGACGTTTCAGCATTCACCGTCTACTAAAGTTAGAAAACCAAAGCGCATTGAAATAGAACTCCAGGCTAAATCTACGTCATTTGGGCTGAAAAATGACGTGGTGTTGTATGCCGGAGAGAAACTGATAGCGCATGAGTCACACGACGCGACATACACATGTCATTCAACGAGAACATTTAAGTAGAAAAAATAATGAAAAAAAAAAAGATCTAGATTAAGTATATTACTTATATGAACTAGGTAATACACCAGTGTGAGGGTTTTTGCGTTATTTACACAATGTAGATCAATCCGGTAAAATATAAACAATATCAATAAAGAAATAAAGACTTACAAAATAAATTTTAACCACAGTTGTGTCACTTTTTACCTTCCTCCCCACACACGAACACCCGACACCACACGGCTCCACCGCATGAGAAACACCTGACACCGCGGCGACACACAAGAAAGTCAGGAAATATTCCAAGCTGTTACCTGTGCAAGACTGACTTACCTGATATACAGACTGCGACCTGACCAACGTGTTAAAAAAATACGTCACCCCCCCCCCCCCTCCTCCTCCCTCCCCCACCAACATAAACCACGGAGGTATGCCACACGGTGACCTAGGTTTATTGGAGCGGTTCGATTGATAGGGAAATCATCGATCTCTCTAGTCAGGGTTTATAACTCTCGGGGGCTCGTAAAAAAAACATGACATTATATACGGTTGTAAACAGTGGTTAAACATTAACCTTTAACCCTGCTGGGGTTAACTATAGGTTAACCGACATTCAGGCGAGGGTGTATTGTTGCTGGTTGAACTTGTGAAGCCAAATTTTTTCGTTTTTTGTTGTAAAATAATTAACCCAGTTTTAATAGTTTCATGTAACTCTATAATAGCTTTTTAAAAACCCAATACAAATAGTGAACGATTGTCTTTATATCTCCTCAAGAACTATAAACAGAGGTGTCTAAAATGACACTTTGATTTGGCACAGTTGTTTTTAGATAACTGCAGCTTTACTTGTTCATACTCTACCCATTTAATGCAGAAAACACTCGAAGCCAATAAGAAAACCCAACTAATACGTGGGAAGGCGTTGCATACCCACGACGTCGTAGAGAGGGTCGAGCGTGTTCTTATTAGTTGAGATATTACGCTGTGCTGTTTCGATATAAGACGGAATATAACTCACTTATGTTCCAACTAGATCAAGGAAAGATGTAACAATAATCAATCCAATCATCAAATAGTGCGATGTGTATGACTAAACTGTACAGCCCCATTATATATATATATATATCGATGGTCTCGGTCGCAAACCGTCTAACTCCGAAAATGTAAATTTTACAGGAGAGACAAAAAACTGATTATTTCCTTCTCGATCGCTCTAACACAAATTTCTTTAAAGATATCTCCGAAGAAACTCTCTACCGACTATACTGTAGCGTTTTAAAATGGGTTTTGTTGATATTTACAAAATTATAGCAGGTTTAAAAAGATAGACGGTTTGCTCGGTCTAAAATTCTCGGTACAAACCGTCTATCTGTGCGCGCGCAGACTTAGCTGTTTTGAGCCGAGAATTTCGGTCTCAGCCGCGTTCGTTCGTTTTGTCCAATGAACGTGATTTAGTTATGTTTATGTTTTTAAGTTATAATTAACACTTCATAATATTTAGATTATAGTTTTGGGCTCATATTTTAATTATTTAAGTTTATTCTACATTATGGGGTCAGTTTAATTTTTAGTAGAGATGTTTTAGTATGGCTTTATCGCTTTCGGCTGTATTCATTATGTCTTTATTTAGCACTAGACTTGTTAAATGTTGAAGGTTATGCTTTATTTATTACATCTTTCTATTCTCACAGTTTATTTTACTAAATCTGGTGGGTGCTGGGTTTGTAGAATGATAATAGTAAAAACAGAAACCGTATTGTCAGATATATTATGAATGAGACATAACACACTAATCACATTAATACTGACTTAATGTTTACTTATTTTACAAAAATGTAACACAAAAAAATGTGTTTATTTTTAAAATTTATTCTTTGAATAAACGTCACATAAAGAAAAATTAAAATGGCAACATATTTTTAAAATCAGGGAAATCATCATAAAAAGGTTTGTTTATGACTTGTTTTTAGGTGCTCAAATATGACAGCTTTTATCTTTTTTTTCTGATCTTGTACAACTTGACAGGAGCTACAGATGAGATCAAAATCTTACGACCCTAGCTTAGCAATTGCCTGCTATCTGCTAATTCACTTTGAAGTAGACAGTAGCATCAGGCTTGTACTGCAGTGCACGAATATTTGTCGCATTGAATTCTTGATAGGTCAGACTGGTCTTTTGAGAGCGGCTGGTCTCTTGTATGGTGTGACTGGTCTTTTTGAGAGGTTGGTGTCTAATGTCTGTTATGTGAAGCTGGTCTATTGTATGTTACGACTGATCTGTTGAGAAAGGCTGGTGTCGTGTATGGTAAGACTGGTGTGTTGAGAGAGGCTTGTCTATTGTAGGGTAAGACTAATCTTTTGAGAGAGGCTGGTCTCTTGTATGGTAAGAATGGTCTGTTGAGAGAGGCTGGTATATTGGAGGGTAAGATTGGTCAGTTGAGAGAGATTGGTCTTTTGTATATAACGACTGGTCTGCTGAGAGAGACTGGTCTCTTGTGAGTTACTGGTGCCTTAAGGTTACGACTGGTCTGTTATGAAAGGCTTGTCTGTTGAGAGATGCTGGTGCCTTTACGATTTGTCAGTTGACAGATGCTGGTGTCTTGTATGGTAAGACCGGTCTGTTGAGAGAGACTGATATGTTGAGAGGCTGGTCTGTTGAGAGAGGGAGAGGCTGGTCTGTTGAGAGAGGCTGGTCTGTTGATAGAGACTGGTCTGTTGAGAGAGGCTGGTATGTTGAGAGAGGCTGGTCTGTTGAGAGACGCTCGTCTGTTGATAGAGGCTGGTCTGTTGAGAGAGACTGGTATGTTGAGAGAGGCTAGTCTGTTGAGAGAGGCTGGTCTGTTGATAGAGACTGGTCTGTTGAGAGAGGCTGGTATGTTGAGAGAGGCTGGTCTGTTGAGAGACGCTCGTCTGTTGATAGAGGCTGGTCTGTTGAGAGAGACTGGTATGTTGAGAGAGGCTGGTCTGTTGATAGAGACTGGTCTGTTGAGAGAGGCTGGTATGTTGAGAGAGGCTGGTCTGTTGAGAGAGGCTGGTCTGTTATGTGGTAAGACTGGTATGTTGAGAGAGGCTGGTCTGTTGAGAGAGGCTGGTCTGTTATGTGGTAAGACTGGTATGTTGAGAGAGGTTGGTCTGTCGAGTGAGGCTGGTATGTTGAGAGAGGCTGGTCTGTTAAGAGAGGCTGATCTGTTAAGAGAGGCTGATCTGTTGAGAGAGGCTGGTCTGTTATGTGGTAAGACTGGTATGTTGAGAGAGGCTGGTCTGTTGAGAGAGGCTGGTCTGTCGAGTGAGGCTGGTCTGTTGAGAGAGGCTGGTCTGTTGAGAGAGGCTGATATGTTGAGAGAGGCTGGTCTGTTGAGAGAGGCTGGTCTGTTATGTGGTAAGACTGGTATGTTGAGAGAGGCTGGTCTGTCGAGTGAGGCTGGTATGTTGAGAGAGGCTGGTCTGTTAAGAGAGGCTGATCTGTTAAGAGAGGCTGATCTGTTTAGAGAGGCTGGTCTGTTATGTGGTAAGACTGGTATGTTGAGAGAGGTTGGTCTGTTGAGAGAGGCTGGTCTGTCGAGTGAGGCTGGTCTGTTGAGAGAGGCTGGTCTGTTAAGAGAGGCTGATATGTTGAGAGAGGCTGGTCTGTTATGTGGTAAGACTGGTATGTTGAGAGAGGCTGGTTTGTTGAGAGAGGCTGATATGTTGAGAGGCTGGTCTGTTGAGAGAGGCTGGTCTGTTATGTGGTAAGACGTGTGTTGAGAGAGGCTGGTTTGTTAGGATAGAGGCTGGTCTGTTGAGAGAGGCTGGTCTGTTGAAAGAGGCTAGTATGTCAAGAGAGACTGGTCTGTTGAGAGAGGCTGGTCTGTTGTGAGAGGCTGGTCTGTTGAGAGAGGCTGGTCTGTTGAGAGAGGCTGGTCTGTTGAAAGAGGCTGGTATGTTGAGAGAATCTGGTGTGTTGAGATAGGCTTGTCTGTTGAAAAATTAATCATAAAAGCATTTACTAAAGACAACTAACCATGTCGTTGAACATGTACGCCAAACATTTTGTAGCCTACCATATAAACATTTCTTATCACGTATCTAAACCCTCAATCTAAAGCTAGTAGTGAATTAACAATTATTAAATTTATTGCTCATTCTTGTGTAAAAATATAATTCGAATTATATTGTTTTGATTGATATTTATATTCTAGAATGAAGATCTAGTTTCAAAGCATTGTGTTAGCCTAAAATATTGTAAACAAATCAGTTTGGTTATTGACAATCTGGAAATAGGCTATATTAAACAAATAATATTTGTTTATTATTCTTTAAAATGATACAATGTAATAGAATAGTTGAACATAATTAATCAAATATCCTTACGTATAAGTACTGTGACTGCTGTGCTGTAAAATTGTGTGATTATGGCGTGCGACTGCGTTCCCGATCAAAAGCGTACTGACAAATATAGCGATATTCGTTTTGCGCCGAGATTTTTAGCGCTAGAAATAATAGGCGGTTTGTTCAAATGATTATATCTCAATAATCATTCTACAGATTTCTCTAATATTTTCAGGCATTATGGGGAATCATATTGGCTTTTGATTTATGTAAAAAAAAGAAAATTGAATTTTTTTGAGTTAGACGGTTTGCGACCGAGACCATCGATATATATATATATATATATATATATATATATATATATATATATATATATATATATATATATATATATATATATATATATATATATTACGGTCCTTAGAGAGTTAAGTAACAATCTTTTATGAAATTTGTGTTTGACGTAGAGAAAGT